GGGCTTTTGAACCGCTCTTAGTCCGACCCGTCACCCAGGACCTGTTTGCCTTGGGAGACCCTACCAGGGGAATATAGCCCCCGACAACATAGCTCCTAGGATCACTCGGGTACTCAAACCCCTCCACCACAATAAGGTGGCGGTTCAAGGAGGGGTTGTTGCATATTTTGACATTGTAATCAGCAGACCTGGCGACAATCCCGTTAGGCAATTTCAACATACGTAGTAGTAAGATATATGACTTGATATGGGACAACAGATCCAAGCAAGTATATTTGGGCGTTGTTAATATTTGAAATAAAATTTTACACAACACAAATTTCCACAATTAGAACTAGAATTACAGCTTAGTAGTTGTATGCCTCCGCCAACCAGTCACATTCATGGGTATGGGACAGAAGTGAGGTCACTGACCTTGATCTTTGACCACCAAAATCTAATCAGTTCATTCTTGAGTCCAAGTGGACACTTGTGTCAAACTGGAAGAAATTCCGTCAAGGTGTTCCTGACATATCGCATTCACAAGAATCGTACAGATGAACAGAAAACACAAAAACATAATAGCTCCAGGCTATCGCTGGTGCACAGGCCTAAAAATACAGTAAAACCAGCATGGGAGTATAAGAGAAGTTAAGAAGAAATCTCGAATCTCTTAGGTGACTGGGGGAGCAGGAAGGTCTGCTGAGAGCCAGCTGCTGAGGCGTTTCAATAAAGGCTCTGTCCTGCCCTCTTCTCCCATCTATCCAGCCACAGTGCAGGCCTTTTTTAAAACATGCACTGGTCCATTTTCCCTCATTCTACTTTTTATCAGACTTTATATGTGTTTATTGTTTGCTTACAGTCCATTTGTGGCAAATTGTAATTGACTGTCTTTATAAAGTTCCACATTGCAAAGAGCTTTAACATGTGTAATTAGTAAGATATGAAACACGGTGCTATTTAATGAGTTAGTTTTATTGTCTCCTCTCCTGTCCTCAGTACCGAGTATGGTTACGATCTAGTTTCCGCCCTAATCCATTCAGTGATGAGGAGCAGGTGGGCGCCCTGTTGAGCCAGTACACAGAGCAACAGGAGAGCCAGAGGAGAGGAGCAGAGCAGCGCTGGATCAATCGGGGCTTCCGTGCTCTGCCGTCTGACCCTGATAATCCTGAAGGCAGCAGCTGAAACACGCCAAAGTTGTGCCCACTGCTGTCTGGAAGCCTCAGTAACTGTTGGGGTTTTTTTTTTTTGTACTCAATTCCAAATCAACCCCTATGTTATATCCAACTTTAAACCTTTGTATAGCCATGAAAGCAGAGAATGAAATAAATACCCCCTTATAAGCCAAGCATATTTTTTATACTTTATTTGTGATGCTGTGGTCACTTTTAAGCAGCGGAGGTTGATTTAGAATTGGGCTACAGCCACTACAGGGGTACTGGTGCTCACAGACGCCTTACTCTAAACACCTCAGCACCTTAGCCATGATGAACTCTTTACACCTGTAATGTTCAGCTCAGCAGCCTTAAAGACATGACTGACCAATCCTGCCTTAAAGTAACATTTTGCCTCTGATTAGGTGGGTGTCCAGTCTGTGTTGGTGGACAAGAAAATTTGCAAATCTACAACCAGTGATGCCAGTTATTCTGATATGTACCAGTTTGTAGTTCTGTTCAGGGTCTTAATGGTTGACTCCTTTATCAGCACTGCAGCTTAGAAAGTTTCCAGACTGACAGCTTAAAGTGTGTGTATAAATCACATACATCCTAGAAAATACACTATAACCGATGCCTATGTAGTAAACATCCATTTACATCCAGTTGTATCCTGTTCTCTTACTCCAGTTCCCACTTTTTTGTTTCATTTAGATGAAAATTTAAGATGTCTACACACTACATGTACAAATGCCTGAATCCAGCACCAACCATCTACAGTGGATTACAATGACTTGATATCAGTTGGTGGGTAACCAGAGATGGAAGATTGTGAGTTGGCTCTGTTAGCTTGCAGGCAACCCAAATGTTGCTGATTTCTCTCTTGTCAGGCCAAGGTCAAAAGAAAAGTGCAACAGCCTGTAGTATGTTCACATCGACTGTGTCAGAAAAGCCAAGGGAGGCATTTGTTAGTAAAGCAAGCTGCATCAGATGGCTACAGAGTTGTAGAGAACATTAGTTCATACAGTGTCCATTTAAAGACCCAGAGCAAGGAGTTACATACGGATAAAATTTGGAAATTGGCAAAATGTTCCTTTAAGTTGTACATATCAGGTTAAATTGGGGAGCTACATAAAATATGGCTGAGTAAAACATAGAGTATAACTATACATGAAGGATCTCTGTATTCAGATGCTAAAGTCTTCCTTATTTCACTGAAACTCTGATTTATCTTTGTATTATGATATAAAGCAAATTTTTAGAAGAATTGTGTTACAAATTCATTGCTACATGTAAGTGTTTTATTGCATATTTATGGGGTTTTATGTTTTATAATAAATGTAGTGATTGATGAAAAAATGAAAAAGCTAATAAATCTACTATCAACACCGCGAGTTTGTGAGTGAATAAATTCTGGAAAATGACAATATACTGTACAGTACATGTTGTGTTGAGGTACACATCTAACCCATAGATCAGCTGTTTTGTTGATTTATTTTTATAACCAGATTAATACAAAAACTATAGTATGATCATAAGACTTTATTGATCTCTGGTGGAAAATTCACAAGCTTCCCAGCAGTATGTAAAGTACTTCAAAATAGAACCATATATGCTCATTAATACTAGCTCTACCTTTACCAGCTGAATCATTAAATGATTTACACAATAATGCATTAGTAATTATAATTCAATAATACAATATACATTAATGTTAAATGTGCCATTCTGCAAAATGAGTTATTTTACTTTTAGTACTTTAACTATGTTTTGATGGTAAAACTTTGTAGTTTTACTTAAGTAACATTTTGAATGCAGGATTTTTATTTGTAACCGAGTACACTGTGGTGTTGCTACTTTTACTTGTCTATTGTGATTTTAACTTCGTTTTTATTTGATGTGCAGCACTTTGTACCTTACATTTAGATAAGTGCAATATAAATTCTGATTGCTTGCTTACTTACGCAGAGCGCAGAAATCCCCCACAACACAAGGTAACTTGTGACTCTCCGGGTTTATTCAGCGCTCTGCGTCTCCCCAGCTTTTGGCGTGGGCAGCAGCTTCACACACCATCCCTTGTGTCAAGCAGTTTCTTGTAAATGCCCACAGTTAGGAGAATAACACTTCCGTAATGGGCTGGTCTACTAAAACTTCAATGCGCTCATTGGTCAGAGTGGGGCAGCGCTGTCAAATCAGCTCCCAGCTATTTCATTCATAACACGGAGCACAATCAGCTTGATGGGCATGTCACGGGGAGAACTCACTTCAATAAATCTGACAGTGCGTCGTCTGTCCACGTCTCAGGATAACACACAGAGCCGAGTGTTCACAGAAGAGTAGGTGCGTTTACTTTTGATTTCTATTCCAAACGGTGAAAGTTGTAAAATATCAAACTATAAGTTTTACTTCGACTAAAGATAGATTGTCATAACAGATCGACATAAATAGTTATAGTTTTTACACTTTGATTAATTGTATTCTCCTAATTTAGGTACCAGTAAACAATCCAAAATCAAGATGTCAACCTCGGGCGGTCGGAGATTGAAGCAGTGGCTGATGGAGCAGATCCAGAGTGCGCAGTACTCTGGACTGCAGTGGGAAGATGAAAGCCGCACCATGTTCCGCATTCCATGGAAACATGCAGGCAAACAGGATTACAACCAAGAAGTAGACGCATCAATTTTTAAGGTTTGCCGGAACTCTTGTGTAGTCACATGGAAAGGTTACTAGATACTGTAGATGCAGTTTTGGTTTTACGCAGCGCTGCGTAAAACCAAAACTTGATTTAAAAACATCGTGGTGGATCTGCCTAACGCTTCTTCAAGCCTTGTTCTTTTAGCTTATAAAGGTCATTGTTTTAACTGTCTTAAGAATACGAATCTTTTCACTTGAACGGATAATTTCTTAAAAGCTTAGTAAAACTTAAGTTTTATTTCCGCACAAAATTTGTAGATGTTAAACTGCCGCTATAATTTTTGACACAATACAGTAAATGTTCATTGTAAATCAGATTTTGTATAAAAAAATTTATTTCTTAAGTTGATTTGAAAAAAGGGACCTTCATGTTCTTCTCGAGGCATCTCATATCCACTCCTACCGTCGTAAATATTTGTTATTCCCCTCCACAGGCTTGGGCTGTGTTCAAAGGCAAGTTTAAGGAGGGGGACAAGGCTGAGCCTGCAACATGGAAGACCAGACTTCGCTGTGCCCTGAATAAAAGTCCTGACTTTGAAGAAGTGACAGAAAGATCGCAGCTGGACATCTCTGAGCCCTATAAAGTCTACCGCATTGTACCTGAGGAAGAGCAGAAGCGTGAGTTTGGGTTTTTATGTCTTATGTGTTCATTTCCAGTTAAAATCCATAACACGTCTATTATTCAACTGGTATTAAACAGGGATTTAGCTGTTTTGTTAATTATCATTAGAATTGCCAGTGCAATGCATGGTGCAGGATAAAATTCCCTGT